AAAGTTCCAATTGATCACAAAAGTTGCATGAATAATATATTCAGAAATATAAAAGGGAATATAATCGAATCTTATATGAAATGAGAAAAAGAGAGATTTAATATTTTTTTTTTTTTGCCGTAGTATTTTACGTTTGTCACGGAAAATCTCGTACTCTCTTATATTTCAGGCCCGACTGTCTTTTCCGTTTCGACGAGCACGAGTTCCGTAAGAGAGATCAAGATTATAGCTTATCAGCTTAAGCAGGGGAATAGTCGATGCGGATAAGAAAACCGCATAAATCCATCGCGAGATTTCTCCGCGAATGAACGGGAAGTGATCATTTTTCTAACGAAATAGTATTTTCTCTTTCTCTCTCTCTCTCTCTCTGGCTGCGGATTCGCGCGCGCGCACGCTTGCTTCATCGGATAATCGGTCCTACCTTCACCCGATCGGCGTCCCGTCCGACCGACGACGTCTTTCTCTCCTTTTTTCCGTCGCGCGCGCGGTCCGAGCGTATACGCATTAAGCTCTTTCCTGTCGTCGGTGTTCGTCGCGACCATTAATCTCTAAATTCGCTCTCGGTACACGACGGACGTTAATCAGATATATACGTGGATAGGTCGAGCTACTCTCTCCTCATCCTGCTGACTACTTTTTAATTAAACACGAACAAAAAGCGGACGGAACAGGGAGAGATACTAGGTATTTACCTAGAGCGTCCATTTCCGGGAGCGGTACGTGCGTACGACTGTTGCGCCGCGTCGAGCTTAACAAGACTCAATTCGCGTGCTTTTATGTAGCCGTCGGCGTCATTGTCGTCGTCGTCGTCGTCGTCGTTGTCTATGACAAGCGATCGTTTTAACGTTGTTTAAAATTTTACGTCTCTCGATAAACAAAGTACATAATTTACAAAAATATATGACAGCAGTTTTCCAATAGTTTTTTTTTCGAAATTGACGCAAATATTTATAATATTGTGTCATGTTATAATTATATGTGGCAAATTATACACGTTTCCGATGAAGACCAGTAATGGGACGGAGAAGGAGGAAGTGCGTGGACCGAGGCACAAACGGTTCTCTCCGCACGGGGTTGATACATGTCCGCGGTGCACGACCCTAATTAATAGGGAGGCCACGCGATGCAACTGTTCCGACAACGTGAATTATGCACATATTATAAGGTCAGGAGGAAGGGGAAGAGAGATGAGCAAGAGCAAGCGGAATGTTATAGATTCACACGAAAAGAGACGACAGACGCGATGAAAATGAAGATGCTCAATCAGATAGATCGCAGGTCACGAATAATTAATTAAGCGTACGAAATATTTTGTATATACAGACGAACAATGTGAATGTTCGAAATAAAGTTTAAACTCGATAAATTAACGTTGTGTGTGTTTATTCTTCTAAAAAAAAACATAGAGAAATTTAGAACATCCTGTGCGCGTGAATTATTTTATTTTATTTTATTTTTTTTTCGAACGCGCGCGTCGAAAAAAATTCGATCCGTTCAAATCCGTCAAACTCCATAACTTTCCGAATCGCAGATCGTAATAATTCACACGCCGTGTGTTACATTCTTAAATCCACGATCTCACATCCCACAATGCGATCCAACTATATACACCTTCCTGTCGAATTAGTCGACGATTTATGGCGGATAGATTTATTAGGGGGTGTACCTCGTTACCCTCGGGCGTGGAGAAGGAGAAAGAGAGACGTAGAGAGAGAGAGAGAGAGAACTTCCGACAGAGCGTCGTCGTTGGTAGGTAGGTAGGTAGGTAGGTAGGTAGGTATGGAGCTGCTCTCTCGCTCGAATTCCAGAGGTCGGGATTACATTTCGATAATTTATACGCGCGCGGACCTTGGCTCGTTCTCGTGCCGTGCATCTAACGGATTTCCCTTCGGTTGTTTGGTATGTGTCGCGTGTGCGCTTTGAGCTACATACGTACGAACGTCGTACGCATGTCTGATCGATTGATCCTCGACGTAATAACGCCATAAAGCGCGCGGTGCGGTATATACTGGTTCTTCTGAACCGCGCACACATACCGGAGATGTGTATTACCTGTGCAAATGCAAGCACCCGCTCGTTTGTCCCGCGCGCGATCTCCCAACACGCCGCGATTTCTCTTGCGCAAGAATGAACGCTGCTGCGTCGTGAACGCGCGCCGCGATCCAAGTTAACTTCTCCTTAAACAGCTATACTAATTGACCAATAGAAAGTGGAGCTCCTAACGATGACCGAACGCTTTGACAATCGCGCGTCCCGTTTGAGAGATCCTTTCGGGGTCGTGATCGTTCACTGAGAGCGGAACTGTTCGATATCTGTTTGATATGATCGGTTTTCATCGGCGAGAAGTTATTGCGTTCGATCTTTACCGTCGATCTGAAGAATATCAGGAAATTTACTCTCTTGGTATTTTTTTTTTTTTTTTTGAAGAATTATTGTTTCAATTATTATTAAAATTTGTTTCTATTCTCTGATTGCTCTATTAGAGATTATAATAGCGCAGATAGCGACATTTAACGAGTCGCTATTTTGACCGAACAGTAGGTAGCTGTAATATCGAGGGCGACGAAATTGAACATAAAAAACAGCGCGTCGCGTTTCATGGCTTATATAAAGCAAAGGTCTTAAAAGATACAGATGTGCGCGCGCGAAGTGCTCGTCCGCATTTGTATATCATCATATCGATAAAAAAAATACATATATATATATATAAGCGAAATAAATGTATGTATATTACAAAATTCATTGTGCTGTTGTGTATAATTAGACTCTCGCAGACTGTATCGTGGCAATTACGTTAATTTCTCGGAGAGGCTAATATTTTGCGCACGAGTGCCCCGGCCAACAAACAGCCCGACAGAAGCATAATCTCCGATCGAAGGTACGGCCGCGTGGCGGCGGCGTGGGTGGAAAGGTGCTCGAAGGGTGCCTTTCTCTCTCTTTCTCTCTCTCTCTCTCTCTCTCTCTTTCTCTTTATTATTCGTATAGGTCATTCGCTTCGCGTGACCATCCCCGGTGATCCTGCATCGCGCGTCCATCCATTTCTCACACGGCCGATGGATTTTCGCCTGTCCGGCTAATTGCCGGAAAAGAGACGCGTCGAGTATGGATTCCACGGACTATCGATACAGATACGCGCGTGTACGCGCGTGTACATGTATATATGTATATATAGGCGGTTGCTGTTTAATATTTGACGCCGGCCCCGATGGAAACGGCAATTATCGAGATAAGCGCGTGCTCGCACGATATTCCCCGGCGTCATAAAGGGTCTCCTCTCCTTTTTTTCATCCGGCCTCCCGGGAGAGCGGCGGTTAGCGCGAAGCATTGAAATTCCGAACTTATCACCCGCTATCGTCGCTCATTTCCACCGTTGTTCACAAACTCGCCGGCGGCCCTTTATTAGCCGCGCGTCCGCGCGCGCTCACCTTCCGAGAAAGAAAAATGTCTCGATCGCGAATCGGGTTTCTTCGATCATTTCTTTTTCTTTTGTGCGATTTCGGACGTTAAATCGCAACCTCGCGGTTATCGAATCGACGGATCAATCGCGACGCGAGAGATTTTTAAGAAAACGGCCACGAAGAATGTAATAACTGAGAGAAAAACATTACCTGATCCTTCTCGACGAAGCCCATGAACGACGTCCTTTCAATCTCGATCGGCTGACCGTGTCGATCGTAAAGGGCGATTACGAAATGGAAAAAATTGCTCTTCCTCAAATTGCTCGGCGGTTGTTTCTCGAAATGCGCACGACCCACGCCAACCCTGCAATCAATCAGACAAATAACGTTTTATTAGAATAGTTTGTCTTGTAATGTAGTTCGTTTTTTTTTTTTTTTTTTTTTACAATATTAAAGTCATAAAAAAAAAATATCACAAGACAATTGTGTCAATTTACGTGTACGGCGATCCGCAGTTGTTTTTTTTTACATTTCTCTTGTAAGAGAAATTATTACTGTAAAATATTTAATGTTAATTACATAACAAAACAAACATGTTTGTTTGATCTCTAAACGTATATGCGTGAAAAATAAACAAATAGCGAGTGCGAACGATCTTTGAATTTCGGTATTACTGTTGAAGCCAAACGGAACGTTAAATGATATTCTCTATTGCGGAGTCAAAGAGGTGTATCAATCTCGTCCTTGAGTGCAATAAGAATGCCGAAACCGGCCGAGAGGAAAGACAAACGAGGTCGAGCCGTGGGGAAGCGCGCAGGTGGCCTCAACGCCTTAAAATCCCATTAAGGTCTCATGTGCCGAGATTAGGCCGCCGGACTCCAATGCCATCTTTGAGTAATGGCACAGAAAGTCCCCTTTTCAAGTACGTTGCTTCGCATACTCTCTACGCGAATGTGGATATCGGATTGATCTCGTAAAACTCTAGACGTTTTTATCACGATTTTATCGTTTTACTTTTTCACATTGCCGATGTGTGCTCATAGTTGCGTGTAATGAAATATTTATTACATACATCGTTTTCTTTGTTTCGTTATCGTATAGGTCTCTCTTTCGTAACGTAATAAAATAAAAAATTTACCGAACTTCTTCCAAATCCCAAAGACAAATCCCGGTATCAATCTGCGGTAAATATATAATTGCATTAAAGGATTTTTAATTTTTTTCATATCAAAATGTGTATTGCTCTCGGCGGCGGATTAAAAATCACCGCCGAGAAATCGCATTATCGGCTCTGGCCTGTGCGATCGTGCCGTCGCGAAACGATAAAACTATCGCACGACTGTACAGAGCCGCGCGCACGGCCATCAGGGCGGACCCTCCGAGCGGAAAACTGAATCGACTGGACCGAAAATGAATAGCGGCAGTTTTGCAGCACATTTGCGAAATAAATGATGGTATCGGCGGTGCGTTTGTCACGCCAGGTGGTGGGATGCCGAGCCGCCGGCAGGTAGAATGAGAGTGAGAGAGTGACAGAAAGAGAGAACGCGCGAGAGAACGGAAAGGGATCGGTTGTGCAAGGGGGTTGCAACGCGGGTTTTCGGGAACAAACGGGCAGGAGGGGGAGAGGACGACCATCGAGAGGATCGCGGTGGAGGATCGAGGGGGAAGATGCGTTTGGAGAGGAAGGGGAGTGATGTACTGCCCGTGTCGATAATTATCGGTGGCTGATTAACCGGCCGCCGGTTCGCGCCCCATAACTCTCGACGTCCGATTATTTTGCCCCGTTTGCCATGCACCAATTCCTATATAACGTGTAGGCACGTCCTGCCGCGCGCGCACCATTATATTATCACTCGCACCGCTGCTCTACCACGCCTTTTTGGGACGACTATCGAGGATTGCGGAAAACCGCGCGTATATACGCGCGTTTTAGTTCGTATAGCGCATAATACGACAACAACGATGCGATTATCTCAGTGCGGAAATTTGCGTGTGAAGAGTAATTTATATATATATATGTGTATATTTATTATAATTAAAAATATAAATTACACACGCGTATAATATTTTTCTATTGTGTAGCAGGAAAAAAGAATGCAACGTGTTTGTTGCGTCTACAAATTAGAAATTTTGCTATTTTTATCTTACGCGCGTTTTTATATTAATATTTGTTTTTGCAAACGACTTTGCAATTTATGCATCTCATCATGTTTAGTGTTGTTCACACAGCCACCCAAAACGTTTATATATTACATCGCCAAATATATATGCGGATAACGTACGCTTTATGCGTTTATACAAGCGCGTGTTGCTCGTCCTACCGACCAACGCCGAGGTGATAATTACGGGCTCCATTCGCGTTTACTGTATTCATACGTGCAATTTGCCACGCGTGCGCTTTCGGGCTCGCAGATAACGCCGCTCGTTCCGGCACCTGTGAATCGTTCGACCCTCCGCTATTCCGCGCCGCCTGATTATTCTTTCGCGTCGACCAAAGTGTCCGTGCAATTCGATTTGGGGGAAAGGGAATGTTCCGATCGACCGGTGGCGATAGCGCGCGTCCGAATCCACAAGTAAGAACGTGGAATAATTTTTTTATGGAATAATTTGTGCTCCCCCCCTCCCACCGATTCCCTTACTTAGCGACGTGCTTTCGATCGTGAAAAAAAAATCGTCGCGATAAGTATTCGCGCGTCGCAATTGCGCGCGAATAGATCAGAAAATAAAACACGAAAGCGACAAAATATACTTGCGCGGTTTACGAACCGCGATTCAAGTTACGAGGAGAAATTTTGCGCTTTATATATCGCGTTAAGAATATTACGACGGGCTCTTTCATTTCCGTGAAACCCGCGAGATCGTCCGCGCGCATAATGTAACGACGTAATCGACGATTTAAACGCGACGATGACGAAACGCAATCTCCGACGTATTCGGAGAAACGAATTGTCGCGAGATTGTCGCGCGATCGATGCTGCTCTTATATTATATACTTATATACACGAGATACGACCTATGCTATTTGCATCGCTGTGCATTATGAAACGAAATATGCGGATAATACGGAAACCCACCGATATGGTTACGAATTCGCGGATAAAGCAATCGTAGAGAATTACAATAAATCCGTGGGTAATACGCACCGTCCGGGCGTTAGTTATTGCGAGTTACCCGAAGCGCGCTCTCTGTTTACGCTCGCGCGCCCAACGCGCGATTCATAATGTGTACGGAGATAATGAGCAATTTGTAATATATCCGAATGTAATTTGCAACCGGCGCGCGTTACGGCGAACATTGTTCAATTTGGCCTCCGTGTGTTTCATCGCGCACAGCTACACCACCCGCATAAAAATCTATTAGTTATTAACAGACTGTAAAGTGTGCGTGTGTACATTTCACAAATATTCCACACGGGAAGCCGCGCGGTAATAAATAATTTTCATGTATATTTCAATTAAGTTAAAACACAATCATATATTATATCCCACATTAAATCGTGTTCGCATATAGCTGGCGCGCGCGAAACATTAGGAAATATTTAATATCTGGATTTGCGTGTGTAATTATCATTAGAATTGTAAATTTTTTAATTGATAACTTTTTGTGAAAAGAGAAACACTGTGAATATTTATTACAAAACAAACGCTTGTACAAGAATTGTGTGAGCGATGTACGCGAGTCGAGTTTGTCGCCGAACAACCGCCCGTTTCGAAGATTGATTGCAATTTTTCTCTCGCGCGTTCTTTTTTATTTCTGATATATCTACATATACGCGTATGGAGAAATCATCGGGTTTTCCGCGCCGCGCGACACCATCCTTTCCTCCCCCTTCCGTCAAGCGCGGAGGTTTACTGCTTCATTAGGTGGATAACTTTTTTAAGGGTTTTTAAAAAGCGTGGGAGTTTATGCGGCTGTTTCGCGCGAGTTTTAAAACAGTTTCGCAACCCCTCCCTCTCCCTTCTGGTTCTCTGGTGTAACGCAGTAGTGTGCTGCTACAACCGTTCTTCGTATAGCAGGAAACGAAACTTTCCAGGTTGAGTTCTCGCGAAGGCGAAAGTTGACGCTTAACATTTTGCGACTCAAACTCCCGCCGGCAATTATCTAGACTGCCGCAACATTGATTCAATTAACTTCGACGAAAAAAAACCTCGTACTCGGGAATCTTATACAAATGTCTCTGCTGTGATATTTTGCAACCAAATAATTTACAATACTTTTTTAAATATTAATATATTCTACAATAAAAAAACAAAGTTTTCAAGTTTTTAACCACTTTATGGTATCTAACTTGTAAGTAATCTATTTTACGTTCTAGAAATTTCGAAATAATTAATAAGATATTTGTATTTTTTATTTTGTTACATACAAGAGTTTTGCGAATACGAAAATAAATTGTCTTCTTTCGCAGAAAGAAGTCAATTTCGATAACCGGGAAGAGGAAAGATCAGTTAAAGAGAGAAAAGAAAGTTCGAGAAAGTCCGGGCGGAGAGCAATGAGCAAAAGGCGCTAAAATTCTCAATTACATTAACTCGATTCCGGTCGGTCTCCGTGTCACGGTGCTTGGAAGAAGGGATTAGTTAAGAGAACCGCTATTGGATTAGCGAATCCGTCGGCTCGCCCCGATTTACCTTTTCGAGTCGTAGGGTATCTGTACCTTCGTCGTTTGCACGTCGTACAAATCCCTTAAGCGAGGCTGCAATAAAGCACCGGTTTATCGTTCGCCAAACGCAGGTACGTGTGCACCACGATTTGAAACGGATGCTCGTGAAGATAAAGCGGATATTTGTTTTCGTGCCACGAATGTTAGCGGTCGACGACGTAAGTTATAGACTCGTTGTTGTGTATAACGTCAGTATTGTCATCTGCGAAATGTGACGATATCTTTAACAAGGAAGAAAAATGTGTGAAGCGATGAGTTAATCTACCGCGTAGTCTCGCGATGTCAGACGAAAAAATAAATGATTCCACTGACTTTTCACGAAGCAAGAGAGCGCGCGTGGAGAAACTGTTCAGTTTCTCCTTGACATAGACGTATATTTATGTAAACGTATATTTATTTTTGTAAAATAAATTCCAATGTTTTGCGTAAACACAAAATTTAATTTCTGTGTACCTAAAGCATTTCAAATTATCTCAATTTCAGTGAAACAAGTAATAAACGACGCGCAAGGGTACAGCTCGACGTGCGATCCGACGGCAAACGTTACCGCAGCGGCGCAAATAGTCAAATTGCTGTTTCGTATAATAAAATTATTATTTTTTTTCTGGCTGCGGAATTATTTTTTGCAATGATTATTTTAATAGAACTATACAGATAACAGAAAATTTTGGTCGATAACACGGCAAATTTCTTCGCCGTCGGTGACAGAAATAGAATTGCGTCAAAAGTTTCTTTTCTTCTTTTCTTTTTTCTCAACAATTCTTGACAAATCAGACGAATGCGTAACTTTTTAAAAAGAAAATATCTCTATTCTTAACCAATACGTTATAACACGCAAAAGTTCCGATATAACATAAATATAACTGAATTTCTGGGAGTAAAAATGACCGTCATGCCAATAATAGACTTGAAGGAGAGAAATATTATCAAAAACAATATTAACTTTTAGACACGTTTACGTTAAGTTTTTCTCTGTTTTCTCGTGTTTTTGTCATAGTTGTATATCGCGATTTCTATCTGTCACCGTAAGAAATGCACTTTAATGGTGATTGACTCACGTTCCGTTGTCGGCGAGCGCGGGCTGCGGCCAAGCACGTGGTGGTACAGGTTCTTCCTTCAGTATCTGCCTCATATCTTGAGGCGCGAAAACCAACGGTGCCCGCGGATGATGATGGGGCGGCGGGGGTGGCGGTGCCACACTCGCGCCGTACAGCTTACGTCCCCAGTGGCCCTCGAGCTCTACGGGACTTCCGCCCCCCGTAGTGGCCCCGGTACCACCCCCGGCGCCGAGTCCGAGCCATGCCGACCCCCCAGCACCCACGATCGTGGAGCTGGGCAGGAGACTGCTCCACTCGTCGGACCGCGTGGTGAGGCCGTAAGGATTATCTTGGGGCAACAGGCTTCCTCCTTCGCGGTGCCACTCTTTGCAAGAACCTTCGTCACCCCCTCGATTACCCCTTCGCGCCTCCGCGAGAGACTCCACCGGTTGTCCCTCCGTCAGAGCGGGTGTGCCCGGTGCCACGTTTCTTTAAGACCGTGCATGAATCGTCGATCACTGGAACGTCAACGAGATAGCTCGTAGCCCGTAGTAGCGGTGCATGAGTGTCCGCTCATCACTGACAGTGTCACACGTCGTTCCGTAGTAGCACCGTCAAGCCGGGCGCACCGACCGCGTGCCGGTGCACATGCGTCCGAACGCGATGCGTGCCACGAGTTCGCGATACGAGCGCGCACTAAGGACCGCGCGCGCTGGCGTCTCACGATGCACTGTTCTCACTGGGTTACTGTTCTCACTTGCTCGTGCAGGATCCTCTGTCCTTCGTCCCTTCGCCAAAGATACGTCGGTTTTTATCACTGGTTGTATCACTGCCTATACGACGTATCGCATGTTCGTGGATTTTGTGGCAAAAGTCCCATTGACTGCTTCCTGAATGTTCCCCCAAAGGTGTTCTTATGACAGCTCCTTCGAGAACGGTTCGCGGTTCTTATACCCGGTGGAGGTGTATAAGACACGAGTGCGTGCACAGAAGTGATAATCTGAGCACTTTCCGCCGGCACTCTGATGCGTGTTATCGTCGCCGCCAAAACGTCGCAAGCGTGTCTCGTGACCAGCGGAGAGGTCCTTCGAGGAGGTCCCCAGTTGCACGTTGCTTCCCGTTACGGCGCCGCTTGTCGAATGTGTCAGGGCCGGCACTAGCGGTGCGCCAGCAGGTCCCAGTGGGGTCGGACTATCGCGGTGGGCGTGGTCACGAGTGGCACAGCGCACCGACCAGCCCGTTCAAATAGACCCGCCCATTTCGTAGCGTACACCAATCCGATTCGAGCCGTTCAACCAATGGATGAAGCCGCTTGGGTCTGTATTGACGCCCACTTCAAATACCAAAGACTGTGGCGCCACAACGGCAATGTTGTGAGACTAATCATTCCGGCGCGAGCCGTACACGCTGAGGGTTGATTCTGTGATGCTCCGGTTCTTTGAATAAAAGCTTTAGAAGTAAATACACAAAAATCATTGAGAAATTGTAATTTTTGTTGGTTAAATAAATTGTTTTTAATTTTATATAATTTTATGCACAATATAAAATTTTTTTCTGTTCTCAAAACTAATTTAAATCATTTTTACACTCGACCTAAAGGATAGTATAAGTATTAGTTTGAGAAAGACGTGAGAGAGAAGAATTAAAAAAAGTCGATGCAAACGCTAAAATGACTTAAATAAAATTACATAAAATTTTCGCCGGTTTTATCGTAGATTATTGTATACTAATTATTATATTATTAATTGTAAGAAACAGATAAATTTTGTTTAACCCTCGGGGAACACACCTATTTTTTCAATCAAGAAGAACAATTTGGGTCAATTTGACCCTGTCTACTTTTTGAGATGCTACCATTTAAAATGCACTTATCCGATTGGCTTGAAAAAATGTTCGGATATATTTTGAACAGTTTGGAATATGCCTATATAGTTTTAAAGTGTCGTTAACATTATTAACATTGTAAAAAATATGTTACAAAAAAGCAAAATTGAAGCAAAATAATTTGATCAAAGTCGACGAACAGGGTCAAATTGACCCAGTATGTTCTCCGAGGGTTAATTGTAATCTTTGAAAACATCTATTTTTATGCTAACTTAGTCTAAAGAAAATTAAATCGTCAATACGCATTTGGAATATTTGTTTTTTTTTTTAACTATAAAAAAGCTTCAGAGATTTATTACAAGTTTTACTTGAAACTTGGATTTTATATTTAAAAAAATTTTAACTCATTGTAAAATTACAAAACACATTTTATGTAAATGATAAGAACATTCGAGCGTTACTAGGTAATCGAGGATATAAATCTTGGGTCGAGTGGCAGTTGAGACGAAAAAGTAATTATAGAATTTGTTTGAATAAATTTATGCGATGGAGGCAATCGCGAAGTTAGGAGGGAAAGAAGAAAGAAGAAACCCGCAGTGTTTCGCAATCTTCTTACGAGTCTAAAGTCTGAGGAAAATCTATTTCTTTTTGAGATTCTGTTCGAGCAATTTACGTCGGAGAATCACTGCTTCGAGGGTACGGGGCCTATCAAGTGGAGATAATGTGTTCTGTGCCGGGTAATTTGGCTCTCCTTCCCTTCTTTCCACTTCAACCGTCTTGAATCTACTTCTTTAACTATCTTACATTTGGCAAACATGTTTGAGTATATTGTTGTAGTTATTGTCCGTTATATTATCGCCTAAATTTAATCATATGCAATGTAAATTAATTGCCGAATCAAGTTTTAACAGTGAGTAATCGCCGAAGCTGCTTCAGCGCGCGCACCGCTCGTGCACGAAGTGTCAAGAGACGTCGATTAATGTTTATCACATGACAAGATAATGAAGCTTAATGAGGGTCTGCAGGCGTCATTACGAAACACTCGACATGCGCGCGTGCCAAACCGGTTTCAATCTCCTTTTTTCTAAAGCTCGTCTCTCTTTCAGCGCTGTGATTCATGAGATCTCTCTCAGCTGCCCAACGGCCTGTAACATTGCCACCTTATGGCAGCGACTCCGGAGTGTGAGAAGCTATTTAGAAATGGAGGTGCTACTTTTTTCTCCGTTATGCCTCGCTCCTTAAAAAAGATCGTTTCGGCTTGCAAAGACAAAACATTTTGAGGAAGACATGTTTTATAAAATTGAATTGTGAAACAAAACACTTTTTTTTGTGAGACGGGAAAATATATTTGTGTCTCTTATAGAAACATTTTCTTTTTATCTTCCTTGACGAGGTTTAGTTTAGAAAATGTGATAGATGTATATACACACACAACACGCATATAGAACAGCAAAGTCTTTTAGTAGATGCAGATACTTAAATATTCTGGTAATCCAATCCAGCAAGCGGTGTCGACGCACGTAAATGTCCCGATGATGTCAAATGAACATCACCGCACCGACCAAATCCAATTACCTATTAGAAGGGTCGCGCAACTTAGTATTGCTAGCATTTATGTAGGTATATCTCTGTATTAGTTAGTTTATTTTCTAAGCCTATTATTCGGCTATGATAATATTCCGATTCTGTTTGTTCCGTGCATATGTCGGATTAAGAGGGTGCACATACAGATAAAACTGTCAACCGGATTTTCGATTTTTCCTTGTCTCTCTCTCCTTCCCTCCGAGCTTGATAACTTCATTTATTAATTACTCGATTATTTATGTATTACAAAATATCACTCTTCTATAATATTAACGTACTACCGTAACTGTATGTAATTAATTTTCAAAAATAATTTTTTAAGAGTGTCGATTAATTTTCTGTCACCTCAAACGCGCGAGAAATAAAGAAACGACAACAATAAGACTAACTTGCGCGCGCGCGACGTGATGGGTCGATGATTCTGCAAATTCTAAAATGGACGGGCGTGTTGCCGTAGCGAACCGCACTTGCCCCACTGTAATAGTATCCGTAGGTGCACCCTACACACAGTCAGCGAGGCATCAAGGTACCACTAGTAAGCACTCTCTCTCTGGTACATCACGGGATGGCAGGAAGGGTCCTGCCGAAGAGAGACCTCGACATATGTGACGTTCATGTGGGGTGGCATCCCTCAGGCTCGCGAATTCGGAACATGTGCGCGGGATAGAAGTGTCTAGAATTCTATGATAAAGTTTGTTTGCACTTGCACTTGCGACTCGTGAAGTGGTCTTCTGATTATTTTCGTTCATATTAAATCGAGACGTCCCACCTGCCAGCCATTCTGATTTTATCTCGCAGAAAAACGAGAGATCGTACATAGGTTGACAAACATCGAGAGCTCTTCTGCCGCACACACATGCGGTTTTATTCTTTCTCTTCGTATTTAGATGAACGTATTTCTTGCTTCTAACGTAACTATTTGTACATTTTGTTTATTCACATTTTCTGTAACGCACAATTGAATAAAATTATTATTTTCCTTTGTTGCGTGGTTTCAAAAAATTTTCAAATTTCAAACGCGCCAATTAGCGGTCTCGGAATAAATCGAAATATCAGAGACGTCGTCTCCCGGGGGATCTCGTGTTCCATAAAAATGCAGCGTCTAAAAACCACACAGAGAGTGCTTTCGTATTGTGTTTGTCCGTGTTCTCTTGAGTTCAGCATTTGGTATGACAATGCTGCTGATCAGCGCATCGATGCGTGATTATAATGATAATGCCGCCTCCTGTTTCGCAGGGGGGTGAGCGCGGGTGTGCACCCCGTAGCCCCTGAGGGGCGCTCGAGTTTTTCGAGTAAAGTTTTTCCTACGCAGATGCGCCACCGGACGGGACTATTTATTAGCACGGTCGTCCTGTTCAAAAGGGCCGGACAACAGGTTGCCGCGTCAACGTCATTAGCCGTTGCGTTTTTGTTCCCGGCCCATTGGGGGTTTACCTCTATGCCGATAAGAGCCACGTACGTTGGTCGTTAATCCTTTTCTCGACGAGATAAGCTGTAAGGCGTGATTTCGAGCGGAAAACGACGCCCTCATCGCACACCGTCGTTCGCGCCCGCAAAACGGATTTTCAAACTGCAAGGATCTTATTACACTTTCATCTCGCGTATCGAGAAAATTGCTTGTATCGCACTTAAAGCAAGATTAATGAAAACTAAAATTGCCCGTACTAGAGAAATTTTTTATATCTTA